TATTTTCTAAAGAAAAAAGCAACAAAGAAAAATAGCACTTGTATCAAGCCGATACCTTTCACCGTTTTCGAGACATTTACATTGAAACTTATGGTGAACTTTTTGGTGAACTGGATTTAATGCCACCCTGTAGAATAGATACAGATTTTTAAATAGGTATAACTTGTTTTCAAATTGAGAATTATCGGTTTAAATTGTGTGCGTCGTGTTCTCTGTTATAGTCTTTTTGATTCGAGAAAGTGAAACTACATTTCTGTATTTTAAATAGTAAATAAATATGTGAAAAAAATCATTAGTGGTCTTTGGAAAAATTATGACTGTTACTGTTCGAATTTACTGATTCAACGCATTTTCTGCGGTCAAAAGTTGCTCTAAATTTCATTAAATTAACAAAGATTAAGCATATTTTGAATGGTTATACAAGATTAAGGTTAATTGACAAAATTATAGTCTTCAAGAGTTCAAGTTTACAAGGGCCACATACCGATCATTTAAATAAATTCGTATTTTACGAGGAACTGACTTCTACTATTAGAAGCAAAATTCGCTAATGAAAATCTATTAAGGATTTTATTAAAAAATGTTCCAATCATCGGCAGTTTATTTCTTCATTGAAATTTTAGATTCTAACTCCATATCTAAATAGGAATGAATTGTGAGTTTTCAATTATTTGATGGATATTTTGAAATCCAAAATGAGCAAAAAAGTTTACTAAATTCATGCAAATGGACTTTTAATTGCTACCCAACTTCTGCAAGATTTAGTAGAAAATTATTTATTTTTTTTAAAATCAACATTTTCAAATTATTTTGCACTTTTCAAAACAATTTGCTAATGCGTAAATATCCCGATAATTGTGTAATTATTATTAAATATGTACTTCTCTGTATGTTCGAGTGTAAATCCATTCCCGCCTTTCTTCATCCACTAGACGCTTGTAGATTTTAAACTAGCAGTTAATTTCAGCATACGTACTGAACATCAGGGCCCTAACGATAACAAAACGAGTCGCAATTTCTGGCCAGTATTTTTCAGAATAGGATTTTCTTAGAAACTCGAGAAAAACTGGTCCAAACGGAGTTTCTAAAAGTAGCAAAATGCCATATTCATCGCATATCGCGCAAAATGCAAATTCAGTTAAAATTACATAATCACCCTGGGCGGTCTCAAGTCGGCATTAATTAATTCAATTCTGCCGTCATCGGGGGCGGCAAACGGGGGCCAGCGGGCCAAAGGGGGCGAAAACGGCGAAGGGCAGGCGGCGGCTCAAATCAATATTACAAACAAATATAAGACCGAAATTGAATTTCGCTTAGCGGCAACATTCGTTGTAAAGTTGCAGGCAAACAAGGCGGCGCGGCACTCCGCCCATAAACACATTATGTAAACTAAGAGCAAACTCCTGGAGGAAACTCCTCGAAGGAAATTATGCCGCGGCATAGTAAGTTCCGAATCCAGGAAATCCCGGTGACCAGTGGCGGTCAGCAAAACAACACTTTCCCTACAGTCGCATCCAAAATTCATCTCAGCTGTTCTCAAATGCTCTCATCAAGTTTTTGCAATCAAAGTCAACTGTTCCTGATGTAAGCAAGTGCATATTTCGCGATGTGTTTATCTCAGGCACCCCAGAAAGGTTGCAACTATCGCCAAGCAAAGTCAAAGATCACACAAACTCGCTAGAAGCACATTTTGTGCTAATTAACAGTTCCACCACAAGCGCAACGAATGTAAATCGTACTTTATTTGGAACACGATGGCAGAGCTAAAACACAAGTAGGGGATCAGTTATTCAACCAAGTTAAGCAAATTTGGACAAGAAATCCAGATTCCGATCAGCTAATCATCGGAAACATCCTCATAGATAAAGCTGTTGCCGAAGCAATGCGATTTTTAGGTTCATCTTCATCAAAGCAACTTGCCTGGTGAAAAATCTTTCACTTTCATCCATTTTGCTCCCATTTCCTTCCCATACAACCTTTCCCAAAAGGAAACAGATGCAAGGTAGTGCTTTGCTGGCCGTTTGGTTGAATGATGCGCTCGAGTGATATCAAAAACTCGCTTGAGATACCAAATGTAGGTAGAAACCAAGAAAATTGACTACTTTGTCCAATTGTGCTCAAGGTGAGTTTGTTTAAGGAATCTATCAATGTTGAGGATCAATCAAGTGAACTGAGTTTGGTTTTAATTTCAATATAACATTTTAAAGCAGTGACTGAGAATACAGTAAAGTCCGCTTATAGTGAACTTTCGGTTAAAACGAACTTTTTTCCTTTAATTGAAACGAGGTCCATAAACAACAACGTATTTTTTTACTCGATATAACGAACCCGTTTATAACGAACTTCCGGATATAACGATCACTTTTTAGGTTAGTTGTATATTCACTTTCCGTTTATAACGAACTTCCACGCTCAGCAACACCAATCGTGCGGAGTTGTTTATATTAGTGAGAGCGAGAGACAGGCAGTGACTTGTTGTTTTTTGCCGCGTTATGTATGTAAATCGTTTTAGAATGGAAAAACAAAAACGCAAAGCTTTTTCACTAAATGAAAAGTACGAGATTATTAACAAAATAAGAAGTGGAGTAAAGCAGAGTGACATTTGTAAGGAATTAGCACTTGGAAAGTCTACTGTTGCAACAATATGTAAAAATAGAGAAAACATTTTATCAGCGTATGACAAAATATGTTAGATGTAGGAAGTTAAAATTATCTGCACATGGAAAAGTTGACAAGGGACTTATTAAGTGGTTTACTCAAAAAAGACAAGAAAACGTTCCCATAAGTGGCAGTGTTTTGCAAGAAAATGCTAGTGAAATGGAGAGTAAAATAAAAAACAAAGAGTTTGCTTGTTCTAAAAGTTGGGAAGAGCGTTTCAAGAGGAGGCATAATATCAGTAGCGGAAAAATAGTTGGAGAGTCGGCCGGTGAAAAATTCTTCTTATGAAAATGTTAGAGGCGATCGATAAAAAAGAAACATTTTCTATACATCTCTTAGATGCAGTCAATTTCATTCATAGAGCTTGGCAAAAAGTTAGCCGAAAAACCATTGCAAATTGCTTTAAGCATGGGGGATTTGTAAGAAAAGAAAATGGTTATGAACCAGACGATGAAATTCCACTTAACGAATGGTTAGAAAAGTATAAAGACTCTGACTACGAGTTTGACACAGACGAAGATATCCCAATGTTGTCGCAGAGCAAGTTAAAACCAAGTTGAGTGATTTCAATTTCTTCGAATATGTGAGCATTGATAATTGCATTCTTACAAGAGAAATGTTGACCGATGAGCAAATTATAGACTCCGTAACCTCATCTACAGCTTTAAACGATAATGAGAAAGATAACGATTTAGGTGAAACGTATTCTACTGTAGACACTAATGCTGTTGCAAACATTTTTGAAATGACAAAAAACGTGTCAGAAACTCAGAATTTTCTACAATCACGCCAAGTTCCTAATCATATCTGGGAGTCCTTTTGTGATTTTGAAAACTACATAAATAACATCTATTCTTGCAGCAGAAATGTACAAACAAAAATTACGGACTTTATGAAGTGGATTTCAAATTGAATTTTGATTATCTTTTTATGTTCTTAGTCATACCTACTAACTTCTACTATTCTATGTAAAAATGACGAAATAAAATACACCACGTGTTTTTGTATTATTATTCGCTTATAGCGAAGTCCGGATATAACGAACCAGTTTTAGTTTATTTTTCAAGTTCGTTATATCCGGACTCAACTGTATTTGAATTTTTTTGCTCAAAACATTATCCATATACGTTCTCTCAAAAATAGCTAACATTAAATATAAATAAAGGCGCTAGGCCCCAATCTATTTAATCAAGATTTACACAATTTAATGCACGGTTTGTTAATTGAAAAAAATAAATAGTTTGTGCAACCATTAGGCGATCCGCCTCTGTTTCGTCTGAATTTCCTAAACAAGTTTTGCGGCCACACAAGGCAGATGCAAGAGCAAAATGTCCCACAGGAATGTGTTGCAGGGACAAATCTCCTCCTGTCGGGTTTGTGTGTCCGGATTTAAGGTGCTTAGCATTCATGGTCGCCCGTGCAATATTTAGACTCCTTTGAGCAATATTGCCAAACAAGGTGTTTGATGTGTTTGGTCGGGACCTTATTTAAATTACAACTCTACTAAATATTTGGGGGGCCCTTTATGGGCGCTAGTTCAGCCACAGCCGGAACTCAGCTATAATTACTTACATTGAGAAACCTGCTGTCCCTTATTGTTTACAGGTATTAAGCTTAAAACCATCTGCTGAATAAGTTTTGTTTAAAAATCAAAAACGCAAACACATAAGTAGTGAAAATACGGACTGCGTTTGCAGCGGATGATTTTTGTCAAGTTTCGGCTTCGTAAAAAATTATATTTTATCTAGATCTCGCTTGAAACTAGTACGTTTTTGCATCTTCAGAAGTGGTGGCTGCGCTGAGCAAACCTAAAAACTCGAAAAACTCAATAGTTCAAGCCAAGAAGAAAGAGTCAGGTTTTTGCCGCCATTGCTTGAAACTAGTGAGTTTTCCGGGGTTTTAAGTCGCCGTAAAAAACAATTTACTAATCATGTTTTGCAAGAACATTCGCTTCATTCGTTTTACGTTCCAGGAATGTTTTACTCGAAAACTTATTAGATTAGTTCAGTGTCCAAGCCAAACATGGCTTGCATGAAAAATTGGATTTTGAAAATCCAAACCCTGTTCCAGTTTTGTATGTAGTTTGTTAATTATTTTTTTGCTCAAAGACCCCTACCTTCAAAGGGATAGACGCAAAATTTTAAGAGCGTTTTATCTCCTTAATGGTTAAAATTATCGCAAAAAATGTTAGGACGTTTTCAACAGAGCGTTCCACCACCAAGCAGATAGAGGCAAAATGTGAAACTTTAAGCAGTTTTAGCTCGGCGAAACAGTTATTTACCTACCACCTGAAAGCCTTTCTGCTTTTCTGAGTTAGTTTTCTTGCTTTCCAAAAACCCCACTAGGAAATAGATGGTCTATTAGGAATAAAACAGACGAAATGGAATACAATTACTTATGGTCTACTTTTAGTTAACGTTATGTGGACACAATTCTGTTATACATACAACACTTTGGTCCAATAAGCGTCTGCTCCTGTTCAGATTTGTGACTCGTAAATAATGACTTGTACGCCTCTGAAACACTTCCGTCCTTTGCTATGCTGCAGTCTGAAGTGATTCTGGCAATTTCCTCTGCTTTGGTAACTTTTCCCGAAGAAATTGCGTTCTCAATATTCGATATCGTTTCAATTTTCCGATTTTTTAATGGGAGAGCTTCCGGGACTGCTGGTTTAGTGCGTTTGGGGTACATTTACCAGCCGTTTCAGTTGCTGTGTAACTCGACTTTTCCATTCTGATCTCCAATTTCTTGTTCGATGCTTGTCTCACTACAATTCGCGTCCGCATCAAAACTATATCCTCCTCAGACGAGGGATTTAGGATAACAATTTCATTAGCATTAAAGGGTTTATTGCATTTGGGGCACAATTTGGTAGCAAGTTCTCTGTAGGATCTTTCGGAGAATACGTAGCCACAAACCGGAATTGTCCATTCATTTCCAATTTTAACACAGGACAAATGTAGGGAGATCCTCGATGGTCTAATGGGCCCTCTGTCTTGTCTTCGGTCCTTAACATCTTGCAATGATTTAATGTGCTTAAACTCAGCAGGTAGCAATCTGCGATCCAGGAACAACTCAATCAGGGCACGTTTATTGTACAATTTAACCAAATGGCACGTAACAACAGGCTCTTGGAGCAACTGCTGCGAAATGGCACAACAACGCCACAATGTCCCCATTTCTGCCACTTTGTCCTATTGCTGGGGCTTTTTGACCAATTCATCTCGAAGCGGCCCTCACCACTCATTACAGAATTATAGTTTCTTGTAGAAGAGCGCGAACAACAAATAAACTTTGCCATCTAATCAACCAAAACATGTATATTAAAGTGACATAAACCTCTTTTGGTTTCTGTCACTCATCTGTCACGTCCGTCACGGCAAAGCACCGAATATTTGCCGCACAGAAGCGAAACAGCAAGCGGCTTCCAGCCGCCATTTTTGTAGCGTATGCTCGGGATATTTTAGCTGGGCAGGAGAAAAGCTAATTTGAAACACATTTGCATAGCTTTTGTTAAAAACTGCAATAGAAAACAATTGCAGATTTTTAAGGTTGAATTTCAGATCGAAAAACTATGCAATTATTCATTTTAATAAATGGAAATCCCTATCGTCGATTTTTCTGTAATATGAAAATATGTTTCGTACTATATAATTTATTTTGATACATTTCTTTAAGGTTTTTTCACACATTTTAATCATGAGCAGTCGCCCTTTTTATTTTCACTTAATGAACCTACAAGGTGTCCAGACGTTCAATGAAAAATAATAATGAAAAACATTATTGCCACAAACATATCCCAAGAACTGGATCCCAAAGACATGGAACCCCTTTGAAGAAAGCACTTCGAATACTTCTTCGCACTTTCTTTTCGCAATGTTTTTGCAAAAGTTTCAGTTTCAAAGGAACAAACAGCGAGTTCTGTATGTAAATTACTTAGCGAACAATTGCACTCAATTAATGGCTTAAATACCTAATAATTTAAACTCACCCAAAGTGAAAAATACGCGATTTACCTGCTGCAACATCAGTCTATGATTCTCCGTTGTGACTGTAATTTTAAAACAGTATAGGAGATTTTTTCAAATAGCAAGTATAAACAAAGCTTAATGTTATTGAATTATTTTGCAAATAAATGCGAATAAAATCCATAAAAAACATCTAGTGTAATCTGAGGATTCTAATAAAACAACCCAGCCAAAATTTGATTTCCAATTTACGTGTAAAAATTCTAAATAACCCAATTTTCAAAATATGGTATAACAGAAAATGCGAATTCAGTGATCCGAAGAGTCGAATGAAATAATTCGAATGATGCGACCATGGAACTAATCGAATGAACTAGATATAGAATATCTCGAATTAATTATAGACCACGAGAGTTGAAAGCACATTTGCGAGATGCGATATATGCGTGCGAGAGAGAGGGATAAAGATAGAGAGTCGGTTTTGCTTTGCTTTGGAGCGAAAACCTCTGAAGATGCAAGCAACTTGTGCTTGCGAAATGTCAGGAAGAAATTCGTTTTTTCACCAGAACTCTACTTTTATTAGAACTCACCAGTTTTGATGATGAATTGACAAATTCGTAGAGAGGACTACAAGTTTTAAAGGAGAATTATCAAAAACTCGCAGTAAAAAAAAGGTTTTTTTTTTTAGTTGGTAAGAATCCAACACTGCCCAGGGTTCGAAACACTGGGTGTCTTTGCAAATATTTTTTATTCCTCCAGCCGCCGGTCAAATAAAAAAAAAGATAATGAAAACTGATGTTGAAAAGTGAGGATAACCAATTGTGACTGAAATGTATGTGATGAGTGCGCGCATTGAAATAAAAATCTTTATTGGGTCTGAATGACTTTCAGAACAAAGTATGACCTCAACTTGCTTAGTTCTGTTTCATTGTGTCTAGTTATCTTGTTGAAATAGATAAATTTCATTGCTTTGGACTTTTTAGGAAATAGTTGGGCGATTCTCAATCAATACAGCAGGGGTCGGTATAAATTTCGTTTCGCCGGCTTTGCCTTAATACACTCGGAACCGAGCCGAAAGTAAATCTTGTAGTTGGGAAAGTTGCACAATAGTTTCCGGCATATCGGCCGGCGAAGACATAGTCCGACGATCCATATTAATCCCGCAGTAATTACAGTTAATTCAATTCGATCTTGTCGTCCCCAGGGAACAATGGGTTAGAACTTTCAGGTTTCCGCGGATTGTTCTACAGAGTCTTGGGCTAATGGGTCCCAAGACGGGGCCCTGCGTGGACAACAGGAAGCCCCGACTAGATACATCCGCGGAACAACCAATTACCTATTCATTAGGCCGGCTTAGAGTGGCAAGTTTAGCCCTGAATTATTCCCGAGTCCGTTGGCGCGACCGGAAGTTCCTGCTGAACGGGTAAGACGGCAGGAAGACGTGGTCTTACCGAGGCTTGGAGGAACACTAGTTTCTTATGAGGATTGATTGCTTCGGACCCTAAACTTTCCATCATATTAACTGGTTATTTCTCTATTAATAATGGCGTTCTTAATTGTGGGCTGGAATATCGTAACTTAGTTAGTTGCCCAATTACCCGCTAAAGTCAATGGGGAAGTTTTAAAGATACGGGAGATGAACTGTAAAACAATGGAATATTTTTTGAATTACTGCTTGCTTCTTCAACTCAAAACGCGAAAATTCGGATTTGATTGGGTGGGATTTTTCAATTTAACAACGGTTTTCAACCGGTTTAACCAATACTTAAAATGTTAGAATTATATATTAAAAGGTGGAAACTAACTCCACACAATGGTAAAACACCACAGTTCAAAATTCATAAAGTAAATATTCCTTTGCGATCAACAGTTAGCAGTATACATTCACCTACAGTTTTAAGCCAAATATTTTTTAAACGTTCTAAATTCTCTTATAAGAAACACAACTTCTTATGTTAAAAATGTTGCACATTTTTTACAAAAGTTGTGAGATATTAAGAAAATTAATTAAACAAAAATTCGCAAATAACTCGAAACTTAAGGAACGCCCACAATTAAGAATTAGAGAAATGTGGAACAGCTATGCCACTTATAGTGCCGCCGTTATATTGACATATGCACATGCGCATGTGATTTTTAGTAAGGCTTGGCACTACAGCGCCTTATAGCCTGCAATTATTAGTGAACGGGCACTAAATATGTTTTTCCATTTCTTATATTAACACTAATGCTGAACTTTTAACGGTATATCTAAACACAACACTTATTTTCAATATACAGGGTGATTGAAAATTGACGTCATTCCTTTTAAGGGGTAATAGGAGCTCACTTGGACGGTACGAAAAAAATACTGAATTTTGTTTTCGATGATTTCTAGAAGATATTAACAGTAGAAAATCGAATTTCAACTTTGTTGTTATGGTTATTATTCCATGTTTAAATGGAAGCATATTGGAATACTTAAGCAATCAAAAAGAAAAATTACGATCTTTGTTTCAAATCACGAAAATTTTTGATATTAAAAAAGTTCTCTTCTGCAATTTTTTGGTGAAAAGTCAAAGCGGCAAAGATGTTTTTTGGCATGAAAAGATAGTTACAGGTTTTGTAAGCCCTTGTCAATAATTGTATATACTTTCCTAACTGTGTTTCAATTCTAAATCAAATTCATTCCTGGGTGTCAGTCATTTATTGTCTCTATTTATCTATTAAAATACGTTTTGGTGTATTTTCCCATCATCATCAATTTTTCTAAATACAGATAGTTAAAAAAAATGTTATCATTAATTTAAAAAACAACCACAGTTCGTCAACAGCCTCATCATATCACACATTAAAATACATCACAATTGCAATACTTTAAAATATTCTAAAATTAATTAGGCCTAACAGGTGATTAGTCAGGACAATCAAATCTGGGAAGACACTAGAATTCTTCGTTCAGATACTTAAATATTTTTACTTACATGTGTAACGTTGTTGCTGCTTTAAGCCTTGGCATGCATTTGGAGTATTAATTACAGGTACTTACAGATAGAGCCATTAAATTGTCACATTGGGAGTATAGAACAAAAAATCTTGAAAAAATTAAAAATATATTATTTATAAACAACTATCCAAGATAATTTTTCGAACCAATCATAAAGCAAGGGATAAATAAAATATACAATTCAACTAAATGGAAAAACATAAATAAAAGAATAGAAGATGATATCAAGTATATAACATGACCATATATTCCGGAAATTAACACAAAAATAAAAAATATATTCAAACCACACAATATCAACATAGCAGAAAAAACTAAAAACACCTTAGCAAATCAATGTTTCACAATATTTAAACCTAGGATTGACAAGTTAGACACGCCTAATGTAATTTACAAAATAGACTGTTTAAATTGTGATAACACATACATAGGTCAAACAGGACAATATCTAAAGAAAATAATATACGAACATAAGTATAGCCTAAGAAAAATTAACGAAAAAAGTACAGCATGCACAACAGAAGTTGCATAATTTTGATTTTGATAACACAAAAATACTGATTAACAAAAGTAATTTAATAAGAGAAGAGTCCATGAAATGATACAGATTAAAAAACGTAACAATGCTATGAATTTCAGATCGGATACCGACAATCTTAGCTCAGCATATCATACATTAATTAAATGAAATAAACATAAAATATTAACTAACACCGGGTATATTGAAGAATTTTGCAAACCAAAAATAATATTCTCAGAATTCAAAGAAAAATAGCTGAAAGTAAAGTAAATCAATATAAACTGTATTTTATTCGTTTTGTGTTCGATAATGGACAAAATTAATACTCCAAATGCGTGCCAAGGATTAAAGCAGCAACAACGCATGTAAGTAAAAATATTTAAGTATCTGAACGAATAATTCAAGTCTCTTCCCAGATTTGATTGTCCTGACTAATCACCTGTTAGGCTTAATTAATTTTAGAATGTTTTAAAGTACTGCAATTGTGATGTATTTTAATGTGTGATATGATGAGGCTGTTGACGAACTGTGGTTGTTTTTTAAATTAATGACAATTTTTTTTTACTACCTGTTATTTTAGAAAAACTGATGATGGTGGAAAAATACACCGAAACGTATTTTGATAGATAAATAGAGACAATAAATGACTGAAACCCAGGAATGAATTTGACTTGTCAATAATAACAATAAATTGTCAAACTGTGACTTAGTTTGAAATTCCTTTAACGAATTTGAGGATATGCGACTAGTTCAAGGGAAATGCTACAATAACATAGCAGAAGCTGAAAGAACTCAAGCCAACAAAGGGCGAAGAGAGTGGTTCCAGGAAGATAGTGGACGACAATAGATGTTTGGGTTCTAGACTGAGAGGAACAAGTATTGGACATAATTGCATAAGAGCCTTTCAAGGCCACAAAGAACATTGCACAACAACTGACACTTTTCCAGGCACCAAATAAATACCGGTTACATTCCTACCGCGTATGTAAGATTACACATTAAACCAATGGATTACTAAACACCGGTATAAATTGAGCAGACATTAATTAACCGAATAGAAGAAGCTGCTCGAGAAGAGTGCATAATAAGATGATTACACAGGCACTTGTTTTGAGTTACAGACTCAAATGTATGTTTTTGTAATTTGTAAACAAATTAATAATTCGAGGTTATGAGTTTCGAAATAGGTTCCGTCATTCAACGATTCCAGTTGAATTTGCCATTTATTCTTGTATATCTTATGGTCACGTTTTCTATTTATCCATGGTTACCGGAGTTTTAAATAATTACGAAGCAACAGGTATTTACGTAATGTTAATTAGCCAGATTGCCTTGAAAACATTGTTGCCGTTTTTCTAATATAGTTTTTTGTTCAGTTTTTAATAACAAGTCATTTTTTTACTATTTTTTCTGTACTCCTAAAACACCTCTAGACAACACCTCCAGAGGAATATTCTGATTATAAATTTTATAAAAAATTACAAACTTACCAATAATTTGATAAAATTATACTGATGATATATTTGCAATTGATAGTAATAAGGATCATTTCCTAAAGGCACAGAACCAGCAATTAAAATAACTATTGAAAAAGAAGAAAACAACCAATTATTTTTAATTGAACAAAAATTTAGACCATTTTGAACCTTTGAGATTAGAAATTGAGATTTACCTATTCATACGAAAAAATGTATCAATTAAGCAGATAAAACCGTCAGGTTGAAAATGAAGAAACAAGTCCATAAAGCGCAACAATTTCCCTGAATAGTCCCAACCCTCTGTTATCCCTAATGTAGCAATAACTCGGTTCGTTTTGTCTGAGTGTTAAGTAAAAGGGCTGGATTTGGTTTGTCCTGGAATAAGCCGAGGCATTCAATTAAGAAGTTTTGTTTGGGCACCTAATCGCCCCGACACTGCTCCTTTGGCTGTTTTTGATGATTAGGCCGTTTCGCCAGATTCACGGCAGATTATGCAAACGACGCGACAAAGAAAGGGTGAAACGAATCGAGTTTGCTGTTATTCCATTGTGAAATTTGAATGCGGGTGGAAAATGGAAACTCTTCCCACCTGCCGGCCTCAAGTGAGACCAAAAAAAAATAAGGTCGATTTTTCAGGTTCTCAGCATACATTCCATTGAAAAGCTATTTAGGAGATAAAATTGTTTTTTTTTTCAGTAGCACTCACTGCCATTAGTCAATCTAGACCCAATCTCATCTCCTTGACGATGCAATTAACTTTTGAAAATTAGAGATCTGTAACAAAGCAGTCAATTCCAGTAGTCGACACGGGCACAATACCGGGTATTGGCGTCAATTAAAAATGAATTAAAAAGTACCTGAAAAGGAATCGTTTGTGATTATGAATAGGGCCCCACACAAAGAAGACCATTTGCCGCACCAGAAAGGACACACCAGACGAAAAAGCGAATCATGCCAATCGAAATTAAACGCCTGTTAGATCGGGTGCAAATCACCTTTTCAAAGGATTCAATTTGAAACGGCAAAACGGCATTTCAGTTCAAAATCTGGTTAGTGACACACAAGCATTGCTCAATTGATTGGTAGCATTATCAATGCCTGCTTTCAGAGTTTACGCCTTTGCGCGGCCGTCGAATTAATTAATTATTTTTCTGTTGAGTTGAAGCGCATTTTTACCGGTTCAAACCCTTTATTTGCTTCGTCGATTTGACCAAAAGTAAGCATTTTTTTTCAATTCGGGATAATTATGGCTAATTTCAATCATTCACCATCCGACTCATTTAGTTTAAACGTACCGCATTGTCTGAAAACCTTTGAAAAATTAGGGATCTTATTAATCTTCATAAGAGAACATTTGAAACAATCGATGCAACACTTTGAATTTGGCGCCGTGAACGCGACATTGACATCAACATAGATACTAACCTGGCAGTTCCTCTTATCAAAATAAAATGCATTTTTGACCAATTTTCACTATTTAATATTAAAATTCAAGGAGAATGAAAGGAAAACCTGGACATAATTGTTAAGTCCAAATCAAATCTATTCCTGGGTTTCAGTCATTTATTGTCTCTATTTATTAATCAAAATACGTTTCGGTGTATTTTTCCACCATCATCAGTTTTTCTAAAATAACAGATAGTTAAACAAATGTTTTCATTAATTTAAAAAAACAACCACAGTTCGTTAACAGCCTCATCATATCACATATTAAAATACATCACTATTGCAATACTTTAAAACATTCTAAAATTAATTAGGCCTAACAGGTGATTAGTCAGGACAATCAAATTTGGGAAGAGACTAGAATTCTTCGTTCAGATACTTAATTATTTTTACTTACATATGTAGCGTTGTTGCTGCTTTAAGCCTTGGCATGCATTTGGAGTATTAATTTTGTCCATTATCGGACACAAAACGAATAAAATACTGTTTATATTGATTTCTTTGACTTTCAGCTATTTTTCTTTGCATTCTGAGGATATTATTTTTGGTTTGCAAAATTCTTCAATATACCCGGTGTGAGTTAATATTTTATGTTTATTTCATTTAATTAATGTATGATATACCGAGCTAAGATTCTCGGTATCCGATCTGAAATTCATAGCATTGTTATGTTTTTTTAATCTGTATCATTTCATGGACTCTTCTGTTATTATAATTACTCTCGTTAATCAGTATTTGTGTGTTATCAAAATCAAAATTATGCAACCTCTGGTGTGCATGCTGTGCTAATGCTGTACCATTTTCGTTATTTTTTCTTAGGCTATACTTACGTTCGTATATACTTTTCTTTAGATATTGTCCTGTTTGACCTATGTATGTGTTATCACAATTCAAACAGTCTATTTTGTAAATTACATTAGACTACTTACCTCGCATTATCAAAGTTAAGGAATAGCGAAATAGAAATTTGAAAATACGACACCCAACTTTAAATTTCCTTGTAAATCGACATCAATCTTTAGTTGAGTGTATGTATATTTTTTGGCGCAAAAGTAAACAAGTTTTAAATTACAAATTTTAGTAAATGTAAATGGTAATTTTTGCAAATGAGTACCAAAATACTGTTGACCCCTAATAATTTTTTAGTAATAAAATTTTGTCAAAAGCATTAAAACATCCATTTTAATTGTTTCATAATGTGTTCATGATCGTTCCCTAGTTTCACGAATTATTGTTATTTTCAGAAACTCTGGCCCAAGAATTGAAAATCGAACAAAAATCCCGACAACAACAAGCCGAAAGAGAAGTGAAATCACCTCTTCAAGAGCGTGCAAGTTACTACAAGAGCCCCGTCATGTTTACCAGTAGTGCAACGTAAAAAAGCAGAACATTAGAACGATGTGCTAATAATCGAACTTTTTAAGACATCAACTACCTGCTGGACGAATTGTTCAGCTTATTAATAAGACTTTTGTAAAAAAAACAATCGGGAATTAAGTGCTTGATCTAGACAATGTGCATCAATCCAAAGCTGCATTTATCAGTTTGTGAATATTAACGAAACTGTTTATTAAGGTTTTAGTACCTAGATAGTGAAATTGTGCAACCTATTAAAAAGTAAAAGTAATTTAGTCCTGCTACTCAACTCTCGCATACAATAAGAAGTTTTGAAGCGATCCTGTGTACATAGTTCCACTAATCAGTTATTCATGTATTGTAAAATATATACTTCAGCAGTTTCAATGTAGAAATGCAGGCATATCAGTATAGGGTTTTAGTTTAACACCTAGATAGTCCTAGCGAAATTTAGATTAAACTAAAATCGATGTAACATTGAACAACTATATTTTCATTCTACTGTTTGAGACTGACGATGGCTAGAAGTGGATGATTTAGTTTTTATCGGAATTTTTGCTTTTGTGTAAATGCATTGTTGATAGGCTTTTTACAAAAAAAAACATTACAATTTCTGAGCGCGAAAAACTGTGCTCTGGAAATAAATGGTTTCTACAAGACATAAAAACTTGTTTCGGCTCAACAAAGATAATCTACCTATAAATCGCCTAGACATTTCCCAGAATTAAGTGAAAGAATCTTTGATGGCTTTTTGCGTTTTTTTCTTGGAGAATGCAGTGATGATATTTATAACATAAAACCTGGAATGTGTGTATTTATTGTAAATATTTGCGTGTGTGTGTGCCTTGCAGAGAATAAACATATAACATATTAATTAACAGCAAATTTCATTTCATCCTCAACCTCAAGTTAAGTTTTTAGTCAAGAAAATGCTCTTGGGAATTTTACAAAATTTTATATTCCAGCTAGAGCTGGAATGTGCATAGAGAATTCCGGTGGCATAACAAGAATTGGCCACTAATATTCTGAACCCTAATGGAAAAATGAATAAGTTTCTCTAACAAAGTCCTGGAAGGCGATTAAAACGAAGTCTTAAAACTAGCGCTCCAAGCCGGCAGCGGCGGCTCCCATCAATCTCATAATTAATTCCATTCCGTTTAATTCTTTTCAAGATGACGTTAATTCAGCCCATAATGGATTCCACTGGTGATTTATTCTTTCGTATGTTTTGATACAATTCATATTCATCGCGCCTTGATTAATCTTCCATAGCATCGGATTACACTTTTGCGAATTTCAGTGATCAGTTGCATGATAAACACCGAAATATATCATTTAAAAAATCGTAGGTAAAACGTGTTAAAATCATAAATCATCAAACGAATTGTAAATGAAAAACGCATCAGGAAAGTGTTTTAAAAAAATGGGAATAAGCATTGCAAAGTGGCAAAGCAATCTCGTCTTCGAAATCCTTAACGACAGATCAAAACAAACCAACGAATTAACATGCAAATGAATTCGACACTAATAAAAACATAATCTAAATTTGGTGCGTGTCTAAATAAATGACTTTAGTGTCGAAAGATGTTCCAACGCTAATTTGGGACAGCTTTTCACTGACGATTTTCGCAATTAATTTCCTTGTACAGGACTGGATTATTTTGCATCTTTTCTTCTATAAAAATTTTTTTTCGGATAAATGTCCAAAAACGAATTGAAAAACGTTATATAAAATATAGCTAAGAAATTTATGATCAAACTTTTAAGGTTTGTTCAGCGGAACAATAGAAGAATATGAGAGGAGCTTTAAGGAAAAAGGGCATTTCATTTTTTCATGTACTCTGGCCGCTTTTATTCAGCAAAATTTCTACATTTTCTCCCAAATCATTCTTTTGACGCGTTTAGAAAATTCCCATTACATACTTTTTGACTTACCGGACTTTTTGTTAAGAGCAACATTTTTTGCTAGGAAGTTGGGTATTGAATAATTTGGATAAATTTGGGAGAAAAAAAATTTCTGATAGCTTTGGATCTTACAAGGCCTGCAAAGTGTAAATTTGGCCAAAATTTGGATAGTCCAAAAACGGACTTACATTTTTTCAAAAATCAAAATCAGACCCGATCAGAAATGATCAGAAATCAAATCAAAAACTGTCAGTAGTGGGCTTACTGACGATTTTAGGGAAAAAGTAAATACCGACTTTTTCATGCAATTTGTTCTCCTCTCTATGCAGTGCAGTAACCTAAAATTGTTTATTACTTGTAGTTTTCGAGGTAATTCGAGTTCTGCAGAAACAATTTTGGTGACATTTTTCCTAGATCTGCCGAATGTTTTCTCTAAAGCAACATTTTTCGCTTGGACGATTCGTTTGGAAAAAAAATAAATTTTGAGCAACCTTAAAACCCGATCAATCCCGGTTTGCGAAATTTAGCAAAATAAAGTCAATCGATATTGATTGGTTTGAATCTGCCAAGGCCTGCAAACCGCAAATTTGCTAAAACTCAAAAAAAACGAATTTATTTTTTATAAATTCGACAGGAAGTCTAAAAACCGTCTGTAGATGGTTCATTGAGAAGTTTAGCAGAAAATTGAATACCAACTTTCTCATAAATTTGGGCCCATTTATATAGTTTTGAAGAAAATTGTTTTTTTTTGGAAACTACTTTTTTCCATTTTATCCCAAACGATTCATCTGACGCATTTGAAAAATCTCCACTCCTCTTATCCTGGCGACAGTTTAATCAAGAGCAACATTTTTCGGTAGGAGGCTTCACGTGAAAGAAAAAGTAAACATTGAGCAACAGTAAAGCTTGGAAGAAAAACTGTAGAACCTCAGGAAATAATTTCCCGATAAAGAACACTTGCTTTGGACAATTCCTAGAAGTCTGATCCCACAGTTTGGAATCAGTCTGCATAGTTGTCTGAACATTTCCAGAATACGAGAAATGTAGACTTGAAATAGTGGCAAGATTGGTCTTTCATTATAGAGCTTCAAGGTTTCAAGTGAGCCGCATAAAAACTCATGTGGGACATTTGCAAAAAATCCTTTTACAGATATATACAATGTTAAATGTTTAAATCAAATACAAAAAAAAATCTGCTATGATGAGACGCCAGTCCTGGATCGCGGGTCTTCCGACTGCATGATAATTCGATACAACTCAATTTTAATTACATTTTCTTTAATTAATATGCTAATAATTTTGCATAGTAATTATCGTAAGCAATCTAGCGCGAGCTCGTCGTTGTCGCTTTGATGTGTTTGAGTCTGTAAATTCTCCAGCCGTATTTCCTGCGGATCCAGAAAGTGTCCCCTCTCACTCCGATTCGTCGATCGCATCCATAATCGATCGTTTCCATCAACGAATGCGGTTTAGCAGGAAAGACAACTTGAACTTAATTTACTCATATACAAGCTCTCGGTGCAAAAGCGCTAAAAAGGTTTGACGAAATTTATTTTTCTGTAGTAAGTTTCCCGTCTTTTTCCACATTCTTTTGCAGAGTCAATTTAGTGTCTAGTTCCTCAATAGTTTTCAGTTTGCCAATCAGTTTTGCTTGCTTGTCATTTGCTTTGGTTTAATTAATATTTCAAGTCAGATCTACTTTTTGCATATTTTTGGACGAATTCTTTAAAAAACATCTTGGAAAACCTTTACCGATTTAATTCGTACTTTGAAGTAAATAACCCGTGGGAAGAACACCAAAAACACATCAATATTATTAGAAAAAAACACAATAACAACATGAAACTAAATAAATTAATTTGTCTGTAGTCAAATTTTTCAAATATCTAATCATTTACTTTGGTTTTGAATTTCTGAGTCTAAAAACACGTTTTTCATCAATACATCTGTTTATTGGGCGGCTTAAATGAACAGCAAAAAATTCTAGGAACAAATTCCAAATGAAAAAAACTGTACTAGTTTGCTTTCAAAATAATGCTGCAAAAGTGTGTTGAAATATGCATGGTACAGAAAGTAATTTAATTCTAATAGAAGGTAATTTTAATAAAAATATAACGATAGGTAACGCGACTGATACAGATAAAAACACATACACAAAAATAGAACTAATAAATTAGTTGATAATGATGATTAATTCAATTGATGTTTCAACACTGAAAAAAAAAATTTTCTCAATACGTAGGTACATGTGATTTTATAAAAAAACCTCTCAACTAAGACGATAAATAAAGATAAGACAGTAAAGATCAAAAGCGAGAGAAAACTCAATTTAACATTTTTTTTATATAT